CCCACAAGGTGGAGTGGGGTCCTGATCATGGGCAGGGAAGCAATTAGCCTTGGAGAGAGCAAGAGAAACCTCTTTATCTGAGTATGAAGGTAAAGGTGCCTGAAAAGAAGTTTTGAGACCTTGAGATCAGAGTTTGAGGAATTCATGGTTGATGGACTCTACTATCTCAGTAGTTAGAAGAGGCCAGTTCCTCTGAAGGGACTGAGAAATAGAAAAGAATGAGGAAGGGAAGTAACTTGAATGGTGAGACAGAGGTTGGAAGCAATTTTATGGAGTGTGGAGTTAAGTAATTAAGACCGTGAAGGAAATTTGAGAATTCAACTGAAGTGCAGCTCTCTTTAAATTATAGTTGTCCCTGCCATTTATCTTAATCTCAGTATTGGTGACTAATAATTATTTCTTGAATTCTTAGTGGGGAGTTTCTTACCATGTGTTGTAACAGCTTCATAGAAGAAGGGAGTTCCTATCATCGTCCCCAGTTTTGTAGAGAGAAAACTGAGATGTAGAAGTCAGTAACAGTGAGAGAAGCAGGCTCTGAACCTAGGCATCCTGGTTGCAGAGTACAGCACGCACCTGTAGTGTATACTATGTGTCTGGGAAAGCTGGTGTGATAAGAGCTTGGAGGCAGGCAGGGTGGGTGGGATGGGTGAAGTGGCAAGAGACCTGAGGGTGCTGATATGTGTTCTGAAGTTAACTGAATTCAGGGAGGTGGGAAAGCAAGTAATCAAGGTCTAGAGGCTGATAGTGAGGGATTTGAGAGTTGGGCGGTTGAAGAATAGGTTTAGGTAGAACTGAGTAAAGTGAAATATGGGGTGCTAAGAGTTGTGATGAGAAAGGGATTGGTCATTTGAGGGATAGCATTTCTGATAATCCCAAGGCCACCACATAGTCTAAGAAATGAATGGCTGAGGTTAACAAGGGAAGTCTTTGGAGTAGAGAAGACTGGAGGATAGGAGATCTGGATTAGAACAAAGGATTTGGACTTTCCTGCTTCAGTGACACTTTTCCTGTTTGTGATATTTTATTAATTTGACCATTGCTGCCTAAATAGTTTCTCTTTTAATTGACTTGAATAATTGGGCTTTTCTCTTTTCACACTACATATACTTATAAATTGTAATACACCTCTTATCCTACCAATTACTCCTACTTGATCTTTTGATCTCTCTTAGTAAAATATTTTAAGGTTTTCCTCACTGTTAAGTTTTAGTTACTGAGGTTAAGCAGTTTCTAGCTTAGTCATAACTAATTCAGTCAAATTAAATATTCAGATACATGGATATATTTTACTACATTTACCATTTAATCTCTAAACAATGAGGTAAAATTCAACAAGATCTTTTTTAAGGAGCAGAAAGAACAGAGAAAATACGGAATTTTTAAAAATAAACTTTGAGAATAATTTTAGACTTACAGAAAAGTTGCAAGGATGATACAGAAGGTTCCTATACACCCCACACCCAGTTTCCCCTATTAATATCTTACATTAGTAGGGTAAATTTGTCACAATTCATGAACACATATTATTTTATTATTATTATTAACCAAGTCTGTACTGTATTCAGATTTCCTTAATTTTTACCTAATGTCCTTTTTCTGTCTCAGGACCCCATCCAGGATACCACATTACATTTAGTTGTATCTCCTTAGACTCCTCTTTGTTGTGACAGTCTCTCAGACTTTCGTTGTTTTTGAGGTGTTTTTGGGTACTGGTCAGGTGTTTTGTGGAGTATTTCTCACTTTGGGTTTGTCTGATGTTTTTCTCATGATTAGACTTGGGTTATGGGGTTTTGGGAGGAAGACTACAGAAGTAAAGTGCCTTTCTCATGACAACATATCAGGCCTCCCTGCTATAAACATGACTTATCACCGTTGATGTTTTCCTGTTCACCTGGCTGAAGAAGTAGAGTTTGTCAGATTTCTCAATTTTAAAGTTACTCTTTCTATCCCACCTGCCTTCTATCCTGAACTCTAGAAGGAAGTCACTATTATTTAGCTCCCCTCTTGAGGAGCGGGAAGTTATGCCTTATCTCATTGAGAGTGCAGTATCTACAGAAATTATTTGTAATTATTCTGCATAGGATATTTATCTTTTCTAATCACTCATTCCTTCATTCATTTATATTACTATGGATTCATGGATATTTATTTTATACTTCAGGTGTTTTAAATCCAGTACCACATTATTTATTTATTATTTGTTCAAAACGGTACAACTTTAGCCATTGAGCTCTTTCAGTTGGTTTCTGTGTCCCTTTGATATAACCTCATCATTTTGTTTTTTAAGTACTTCCTTATTTTCTGGCAGTAAAAAATACGCTAGATTCATATCGTATATTCTCTGTTCCAACCCTAGAATCAGCCATGTCTCAAGGAGCCCTGGTTCCTTTTATTGGAGAATGGTATTAGAGACCAAGATCTAGGCCCTGGTGTGCTCATTACTACTGGGGCATCATTGTTACTATGCTCTCCCAGGTGACCACTTGGAAGTATACTAACCTGTGTATACATAGGGTACATAGCTAACTATAATTATTCCTGCTGCATCCATATTTATATCTGTATTAAGCTAAATGAGTTCATACTGATGTTTTCAACTCTAATCCAGTATAATATGGATCAATCTAGCCTCTTCCACTCACTTGTCTGTAACTTTCCACTCCAACAGTAAGACAACAGGTCCCCACTTCACCATCAAACACATGTACTTATTTGTTAAATCCCAATGTATATGTATGTATATATATATGTATAATGGTTTCGGAATTGTTAACCTGTTCTTCCATGACACACAACTTTATCAACTAGAGTACAGTGCCTGTGTACAGTTTTGTTTTGTCTTTAGTCTTACAGCTACATTTTCAGAGTTACTTAGATCACCTGTTTTTACTCCACTTCCTACAGTGAGGTTATGTATGTATTTGTAAAGCAGTTAGATTCTTCTGTCACAGTCTAGATTCCATCCTGGCACCCCCAATCTCCTAACTGACATTTTAAAATTTGTACACACTCTTCATGCTGTTCTGTGGATTTTGACAAATGCATAACATCATATATTCACCACTACAATATTATACAGAATTGCTTCACCACCCTAAAATACCTCCTATGCTTCACTTACTCTACCCTTTTCCTCTCTCCCTGAACCTCTGGCAACTACTGACCTGTTTTCTGTCTTTTTTTTTTTTTTTTAAAGATTTTATTTATTCATTTGAGAGACAATGAGATAGAGAGAGAGCATGAGAGGGGGGAAGGTCAGAGGGAGAAGCAGACTCCCTGCCAAGCAGGGAGCCCGATGCGGGACTCGATCCCGGGACTCCAGGATCATGACCTGAGCCGAAGGCAGTTGCCCAACCAACTGAGCCACCCAGGCGCCCGACCTGTTTTCTGTCTTTATAGTTTTGCATTTTCTGGAATGTTATATAAATGGAATCATAATGTGGGTAGCATTTTCAGACTGGTTTCTTTCATTTAATAATATGCATTTAAGATTCATCCATGTGGTTATGTAAATTGATAGTTTGTCCTTTTTATTGCTGAATGGCATTCCATTGTGTGGATATACCACAGTTTGCTTATCCATTCAGTTTTTTTTTTTCTTAAGATTTTGTTTATTTGAGAGAGACAGGGGGAGAGCACAGACGAAGAGTGAGAGGGAGAAGCAGACTCCCAGATGAGCAGAGAGCCCAACATAGGGTTCGATCCCAGGACCCTGAGCTCATGACCTGAGCCGAAGGCAGACGGTTAACCAACTGAGCCACCCAGGCGCCCCCTCCATTCACCTACTGGATAACATCTTGGTTGCTTGCTTGCTTCCAGTTTTTTGCAATTATAAATAAACCTGGTGTAAACATTTGCATGCGATTTTTTGTGTGGACACAAATTTTAAAATCAGTTGGAAAAATACCTAGGAGAGTGATTGCTGGATTGTGTGCTATGAATATGTTTAGTGTTATAACTGCCATATTGTTTTCCAAAGTGGCTTTACCATTTTATTCTCACCAGCAAGGCTTTAGAATTCCTGTTGCTCCATACCCTTGCCAGCAATTGGTATTGCCAGAATTTTGGATTTTAATAATTTTTATAGATATGTATATATATGTATATATATATCTCATAGTTTTAATTTACAGTTTTCTAATGACAAATGATGTTGAACATCTTATCATATTCTTATTTTCCTTTGTATATCTTCTTTGATGAGGTGTTTAAGGTATTTTGCCCATGTTTTAATTGGGTTGTTGCCTTATTATTGAGTTTTAAGACTTCTTTTTATATTTTGGATACAAGTACTTTATCCTATATGTATTTTGTAAATATTTTCTCCCAGTGCATGGATGTCTTTTTATTCTGTTTTTTTTAAAATTCTGTTTTAACAGTGCCTTTCATAGAGTAAGTTTTTAATTTTAGTAACAATATTTTTAGTAACAATATTTTTTTCTATAGTTGTGCTTTTGGTGTTGTATCTAAAGTACGATCACCAAACCCAAGATCATGCAGATTTTTTCCTATGTTTTCTTCTAGAAGTTTCAGAGTTTTTCATTTTATGTTTAAGGCTGTGGCTTATTTTGAGTTAATTTTTGTGTAAAATGTGCTCTGCCTAGGTTCATTTTTCTGCATATGAATATCCAATTGTTCCAGCTGTTTGTTAGGAAAACTATTCCTTCTCCATTGAATTACCTTTACACTGTAGTCAAAAATCAGTTGAGTATATTTGTATGGATCTATTTCTGGGCTAACACTTTTGATCATTTGTTCTTTCACCAGTGCTATGCTGTCTTGAATACTGTAGCTTTATATAGTAAGTAAGTCTTGAAAGTGGGTAGTATGAGTCTGCCAACTTTCTTCCTTTTCAGTATTGTGTTGGCTATTCTAGGCCCTTTGCCTCTCTATATAAATCTTAGGAGGATGTTCACTGAATTTTAAAAACTAAAAACATTTAAAATGGTTAATCTTTGGAGATGCAGAGTAAATGTGATGCTTTTAAAAATTTTTTCCAGGTGGTTCTTTGAAGCTCTGAAGTATCCTAAGTTTTCCAAGGCTAACGTCATCAATGGAATACTCATGACAGTGGTGTTCTTCATCGTACGGATTGTCTCAATACCTCCTTTTTATGGTTACATTTATTCCGTGATTGGAACAGAAGCCTACATAAGGCTTGGATTTTTAATCCAATGTTCCTGGATCTTTACTTGTGCTATTTTGGATGGGATGAATGTCATGTGGATGATCAAAATTACAAAGGGTTGCATCAAAGTCATCTCTCTCCTCAGACAAGAGAAAGCCAAAAGTAGTCTTCAGAATGGAAAACTTGACTAAAGGTGGGCTACTGATAAGCATACTTCCATACTGTCCACGTTATATCTACTGATAGGATGAATTCTTAGCATGTTCTTGTACTTCTTATTAATTATATTTGTTATCGAGGGTTTCAGTGCTTTTTTTTTTTTAACCTTTAGAAAAGAGAAACTAAAACTTAGTTTTTATTCCAAGATTTCTGATTTTCTTCTGCATTATAAGCATGGATAAAATCTTAAAGGTTTAAATAAAAAATTATAAATATAGTGGTGAATCTTTTCAGAAATCTGTTAACCTGCATTGGTATTTTTCTCTGTGAAAAGATGACTATGCTAATTGGGTGCACTTGGTTTTATGTCACCAATTTTGCTGAAAGAATGGGAACTGCTTTTAAATTTGTAAATAGCTCTCAACACTTTGTTGTACTGCACTCATTTCTTACTGTGGCTGTCAATACCCGTTTAGGGTTTAATTTCTAAATTGTTGAAATGTTCTTTTCTTAGGCTATTAGAAATGATGTATTTTTTGTTTAGATATGCTATCATTTATGAATGATAAAGTATTTTGCTTACTTTGGGAATAATTAGTTCAGTCATGGAAAATACTTCTTTAATTTTTAGATTTTTCAGACATCACTTTATTATTTCTATTTTTAACATTTTATCAAAGTACTGCTTTTTTATTTGTAGTAAGGCTTAAGACAGATCTTACAGAGCTCCTTAAGAGATGAATTCCTCTTTCTAAAAGCATGTTATAGATGACTAATAGGTCATTTTTAGGCTAATAGGAGGAATCATTAAGAAAAAAGCTTTAACACTGCTGTCTCTGTTTCCCTTGCACTTTTTCCATGAAAAATATATTATTTCTATTTGTAAAACCTCCCGTAGGTTCAGAACCCAACATCATCAGTACCAAAGTGTTAATGCAGTATATATTTGTCATGCTCCTAATATGACGTAGGCCTCTTCTTAATGAGACCAAAACTCCAAAAAATCAGTATTCACATTTTAGTCACAGTTTACACCTATGCTTGCTTAACCAGCATTTTGAGTGCTTTGAATTTCTGTCTTTCCTGAAGGACAGGAAAAAAAAAATAGATAATTTAATCTAAGTATTCCGATTATTAATACCCTTGTCTCACGTGATGATAAATTTATGGCTGGTGACTCTGGTTTTTTGGTTTTGGGTTTTTTTGTGTATGTGTAAGTATATGTTTGCTTTTTCTTTGGTTCTTACAACCCCAATATAGAATTATATAATTAGCTATTATTGCCTTTATTTTTCTCGAGTACTTGATTTTAATGATTGTTCTTACCTAAGAAAGAAAGAAATTTAATCAGTGACGGCTGCTTGAGTTTAATTGAACCCAAACTAAAAGATCTAATCCACTCAGTTTCTCAGTTGGCAGGAGAATGACTCACTTTCATTGTCCATGTTATGATGGTGAAGGGAGGCTGGCTGGCTAGATCAGACTTTGATTTGATTTGATCTGGCTGTCTAATGCAGAGAGAGCCTGAGAAGTTTTAGAACATTTACAGAAGGTAATTGAAATCTCAGTCAATAACTCAGTGAGAAAATCAAATTGATTGGCTTATAGTAAGTACACTTATTTTTGAAAGACTTAATTAAAGTAATGTAAAGTATAGGTATTTTTTTTTTTAAAGATTTTATTTATTTATTTGAGAGAGAGAGAATGAGAGACAGAGAGCATGAGAGGGGGTAGGGTCAGAGGGAGAAGCAGGCTCCCCGCTGAGCGGGGAGCCCGATGCGGGACTCGATCCCGGGACTCCAGCATCATGACCTGAGCCGAAGGCAGTCGTTTAACCAACTGAGCCACCCAGGCGCCCCGGTATTTGTTTTTAAAGCTAATATTACATTGATAATTTGTTACCAAATTTAGTGCCTTTGACATCATAGGCACTTAAGTGCATATTGGTTGTTGAGAGGGGGTAGGAAAGCACATGGTTTTATCTTGTTCTTTTCTTGCTCTTTTGCAAGAAAACTGGATTTTTAAAAGGAAAACATTTATATTAGAAAACTATTTTGGAAATTACTTTAAAAAAAACAAAACTTGAAATAAATATTTTTGACTCTTGGGATATTTCTATAGTTTCTGAACACAGATTTTAAACCCACCATCAAAATGAAGACAATATAAAGCAATATATTGCAATGTATTGTAATATAAAACTCACTAATCAGTGAGTTTCCATATAGCAGTTTCAGTTTTTGTAGTTGCTATTTCATGCTTAAAACTTTATTTTTTACTTTCATTGACAGCATTTTCATTAGTATAGCTGTTCACAAAACAAATGTTTAAAATATCAATGCTTTGAACTAAAGTTCATTAATCCCTTAGTCAGCAATTCTTATTTTATGCTGACTGCATGACAGCTAATTCAACATCGACATTAAATATCCAGAAGTAGAAGCTACATATTTCCTTGTACAACATGCATGAAATGGAAAAGACACTACAAACTGCCATACTACTTTAAGTCAGATCTTTATAGGAGCTATATTTCACTGTTCTGTGATTATATCCACCTACCTAAGATACAAGGAGTTAAAGACATAACATATCATTTATTCCATGATGAATTTATCATTTATTAAATGACAAACTTTTGCTAGACATTTTTCATATTAAGTATTTTGACTACCTGGATTAATTTAAATGATTCTATTAGGCATTTTGAATTTAACAACTATTAAAATATTTGTAGAAAATTAAAGCAAATTGGTGTAAATTTTTAAGCAACTCTATTTTTATAGAAAAAGATTAGTGACAACCTGTAACTATAAAGATGTTCTTTGAATGTGTAGTAGTCTAAAAAATAGAAATTCTTACAAAATTTTGAAAGTGAATGAAAATCAACTAAATAGCATGCAAGATCATAGACTCTGCATCTGATATTTTATTTGGGAGAATTTGAAAATTATGAGCTTGAATTTGTACAATTTGCATTCTTGTGTCTGAAATCTTTCCAGTGGGTATTGTTTGCATTTATTTAAAACTCAAAATGGAGTTACATATGAGTGCAAAGAAACTAACTCCTGCATAAGTTGATACCTTATAGTAAGTTAAGATGCAATCTTTATTCCAACTGTTTAGTTTTGTTGTTTCATGGGCTAGTGCTATGTTTAGAGAAGTAATAATGTCTTTACCATTCCTAAGGGTGACTGACATACCATGGATGCCGCAGAACTATTGTAAAGGTCTAGTTTTAAAAACTGCCTCATTTATAGGTGTTTGAATCAAATTCTTTTCTAAATTTTAATCTATTTAACTCAACTTTTTGCTAAAGTGTCGGTTTTTAAATTGTACACTCTGTGAGGTGCGTTGGGTGTGCGCAGAATGGTTCTTCACGGTTGTAAAGGACCAGCTTTATGGTTGGTTACACCATTTGTCATCATGCATTGATGACAAACAGTCTTGTCGTGGAGATATCTAGGGGAAAGTGTTGTCATATTCATGTTTGTTCTGTTAAGTTTTTAAGGGAAATAAACATGTTCCAAAAGGCACTATTAAAATAAATGTTTGAATAAATTTCAGTTTCTAGGTTACTCTTAACTCCAGTATGGAAGTATGCATACAAATTGGCTTTCAGTGGTTTAGTCTGTTGCTTGAAATTGAGAAGTCCATGTAGTTGTTGACATCATCAGTTACACTTCATGGAAGACTATGTATTTGTGTGTCTTGGGTTCCAGAAGAAGCAAACGCGTATAATTTTATCAGAAATGTGGCACGGTGTTTCTCCGCACGTACGAACCAGCACAGCAGTGAGACCCCTCCTGTGTCTAGAGACCCTGGGCACACACACAAACCTCCCAGCCTCAACCACAGCTTGGTTGACAACAGGAACACTAAAGCTACTGCAAGGGATTTTTCACATGAAGCACGTGGGGTATGTGTGAGAACAATGAGAAGCCAGCGAGACCTGGAGTTGGAGACACTGCGACTGATTTTCCCTTAAAAGGCATAATGTCCCTCCCTCATCTAGAACTTTTTCTCTGAATCCTTCCAGCCCTTCCAACTCATCCTCCTAATGCCCTTAAGACTTTACCAGCACCTCCATCCCTTATGCTAGCACCTTTCAACATCAACTTTTGAGGCTTCCCCATACCCATAGCTTTCTGGTCTATTGCAGCAAACTTCAGAGTTTTCAAGTATGTTCTTCCATTGGAAAAAAAAAAAGCATTGCAGTAAGTTTAAGTAGAGGTCAGCAAACCGTAATTGCTAAGAGGCTATCGGAAGCCATTTAGTATTTAATAATACTTGTTACAAGATGAAACAAGGCTAATAAGGTAATGGTTTTATTGAGAAACATCTGTAGTCTCTTAAACTGGCTTAGCAGTAAGAGCTTTATCTGTGTTTCAGCTAGGGATTCATTGTAGGCCTGTAAATTATCTAAGTGTTCTTCCTTAGACCCCATGGCAGCAGGAAGAACTGAGGTAGCTCTGTTATGAGGCTGTTAGGAGGAGGGGCTGCTGGTCTGTGGCAGCATTCCTGAGTCCTGCTCTTTAATTGAGCCAATTTAGTTACGGTCATGTTTCTTTTAAAAACAAGCTTACCAGCAAGTGGATTACTCAGCACGTTTTACGAGTGCAACACCCAAGGACTTGAGCCCTATCCTTTTCTAGCCCGGACCTCAAACTTCCTCTACCAGCCTTGGTAGTAAGTTGCACCTTTATTTGAAGATATTTTGGATAGCAATGAAGAACTGAAGGCTAGCTGCTAAAGATTGGTTTGTTTGCATTGAAAATGTTTACACTGATTCCCTTGTTGGTTACACCATAAACCGTTTGTTTGCATTGAAAATGTCTACAGCAAACTGTAGACAGTTTCGGTATCAGGCCCTATATTTAAGACCAAAAACAATGAGAAATATTTCTAAATCTTAAAGATATAAATACAATACCTCTGGCTGAAAACTCGTTAATCATCGTCTGTATAGTTTTTTCTTTATATCTTTACATAATTCTTTCTGTAATGAGGTGTGCTTAGGTATTTGCTGCTTCTTGGTTAATGAAGCCTAAAAATATAACTGTAAATAAAATATGCTATATATTTTTCTGTTTCTTGCTTGGTTTGCTTCTAGTATAATTATGTCTACTTTTTACTTAAGGAATTTTTGCATAGATAATACTCTCTCAGTAACTTGTACCTAGGATGAGTTAATGAGGTTTTTTGGTAATTATTAGAATTTGTAATAATAACTTTTAGACATAGATTTCATTTGAAAAAGCTACTTGAAGATTGCAGCAAATGTGATAGCTCTAGTGATATACACATTTTTGGGGGGGAATATACAACCTTACTATGTAATTGTTATAAAGATTTTGGAAGTCTTTCAAAATACATTTGACATTTTGAGAACACATCTCCTAATTTATTTCCGTAAGGCTGAATGAAGAACTTTGTCTTATTTACAAAATGTGAGACTTGGTAATTTATAAATCAGTGTTACTCAGATTTATCAACAATTAAAATAGCAATTTAGTATTCTTTGCTGTCTGGTTGTGCTTAATTTGAATGGGATTAATTAATATCTCTAGGTAATTCCCTTAAAATTTTAAAATGTTTGTATTCTTTATTTGTATGTGTGTCAGTTTAAAGTATATGCAAGTTCTAAGCAATAATCTGCATGTTCTACAAGGTTGGCATTCCTTTGTCATGACAAATTTTATTTAATATTAATTTTAAGAATGTGTATAAAATCAATATCCTGCATATATAAATCATCCCTCCTCCCAAAGAAAACCTTGAGATTTTCCTGTGTTAGAACATTAATGTGGTGCAAAGCTTTGTATTTTGTGGAAAAAAAAATTAATAAAATCATAATTATTTAGTGCAAAAGTTTGAGTCTACAAAGTGTACACTTTAACAGCAATTAATGAATAGATGATAAAAATTACTTTCCTCAAATCAAATCATCTCTCCTAGCTCTTGAATCCTAAAGCTAATATTTATCCTAAAGCTAATATTTATTCTTCAAGATGTTTATAGAGCTTGTTTACCCTCTTCCCTCCCTTTCCTCCCTTAGGTCTCTGCCTTATAACAAACCAGGAGACATAGCAAACATTGTAGTCATGCTTGTTGATGGAAGGAATGGCGCTATCTAATCAATAGGCTCTTTTAGAGTAAGTAAAACTTTGGCAGTTATGTTTTTTTTTTTTTAAAGATTTTATTTATTTATTTGAGAGAGAGAATGAGAGAGAGAGCACATGAGATGGGGGAGGGTCAGAGGGAGAAGCAGACTCCCTGCAGAGCAGGGAGCCCAATGTGGGACTCGATCCCAGGGCTCCAGGATCATGACCTGAGCCGAAGGCAGTCGCTCAA